GTTAGTCATTTTATGTCAGTGGAATTCCGTAACGTGAAAATTGCACTTGAATAATATGGTGTTGACACAGTCGCCGGCAGGTGTGTTCACTGTGTTATTTCTTCAGCATTAAATTATTGTCCGCACAATATGAAATTAACTAGGCAATAATATTAAGATTAAACATGAAATTACGCTAGAAAAATACTTTTTACACTAAATACATAAAATTCGATCACAGAAACGTGTGTTAACTTTTTTGAGCACCTACCCACTTTTCTTCCCACCCAATTTTCATCTCGTGTATCTCGAGAACAAAGAATGGTATTGACGTGGGATCAGTTTCATTTAACGCATAATTATGTAACTTAGACCTCATTAAATATTGAGCGAAATCGGTCAAGTCGTTTATTTATTTCACAATTTATGTATACACAAGTTAGGGAGAGGACACATCATAATAAAAAGTTTGTACAAAGGCTCTACTTATCTCACAAAGAAATTTCTTCCAGTAGGCCAGTTTCAAACACATATGATTACTAAATAATTATAAAGTGTGCACTTTGTTATTTTACAACACATATGGGTATAAGATAAATATATACGTCAGCTCAAATACCTACATATATATATATATATATATATATATATATATATTCATATTTAAACAAACATTAATACATACATTAATACTAAATATAATATAAAGTCATAATTAAATATATAAACATATATACACACACATATACATACATATATGTACATGCATATATTTGACACAGTATAGTACATATCAGAGATTTGAGACTTCTGTGTAAGTCTCACAGACAGCGATAAATAATGTTCTTTCACTCCTTTTTTTCGAATTCCAGTGAAGCGAATTCGAAGTCTTACTGCTTGTACGGAGAATGAACGGGAATATGAATGAGTATTAAAGGATGGGAATTTTAAGAGAGTTTTAAGGTGAGATCTACGAACTGTATCTGGGGATTTAAGAAAGGTAAATCGATTTCGGAGGTATGGAGGGAAATTTGGGCTGTGTAGGATGTTAAAAAGGAGACAAAGGATACGAATGTTCCTGCGAAATCGGATCGGGAGCCACTTGAGTTGCTTTCTATATTTAGAGACGTGGTCAAACTTCTTGAGTCCGAAGATATACCGAATGCAAAGGTTTTGTAATCGCTCAAGTTTGTTTAATTGCTCCTCTGTGGCATCCAAAAAACAGACATCAGCGTAATCTAAGATAGGCATAATAAGGGTTTGAACAAGAGAGATTTTCGTTGATAAGGGTAAAAAACTTTGAAGACGTTTTAATGAGTGGAAAGCATAATAAACTTTTCTACCTAAGTCCATTGTGTGAGGACCCCGTGACAACCTATTGTCAATAATTAAGCCCAAGGTCTTCACAGATTCAGTATAAGTAATTGATGTGCCATTGATAATCACATCTGGCAGGGTGCATTTATCAATTAAGCTACTAGTATATCTGCTACTTACTATTATTGCTTGAGACTTACTTGGATTAATAGTCATACCATGTGATCTGGACCAACGACTAATTCTCTTCAAGTCATCATTCAGTGCTTCTATCGCCAATTTAGCTTCAGATGCCACAAAGTGACGGTAAAGCTGCAAATTGTCTGCGTAAAGATGGAAGTTGGAGGATATTATTTTTGTTATAGAATTGATAAAAATGGTGAAGAGCAAAGGAGACAAGACGCCACCCTGGGGTACACCCATTATAAGATTACACCAGTTGGAATAAGTGTCATTGGAACGGATACATTGTGAGCGACCCCGAAGGTAGGAATCAAACCAGAGAATGGCCGAAGGTGAAACATTAATAGACTGGAGAATTTTTAAGAGGATATCAAAGTCAACAGAATTAAAGGCACTGCTGAAATCTAATAAAACGAGTACGGTTAATTGTTTTTGATCTATGGCTCTACGGATATCATCAGTTTTTTGTGCCGAATGAAAAATTATATAAAATATTAAAACCTATGATATTTTTTTATTCTTTCCACTGGGAAGTTGGTCGTGTGGACCTTTCAGGTCGCACCTAGACCGCTTTTTTAGTAATAATTGTAATTGGTATTTTGATCAGCGGCTTAAAGAAGCTTAACTACTTTTTACCCATTTCCACCAAAACTATGCTTGCACAATCTTTACTACTCCCTATCCTCGACTATGCTTGCTGAACTTGATATAACCGAGGACTAACTCAACAAACTTGAACGAATCCGATATCCCTGTATACGGTTCATATTTGGGCGTCGTAAATATTTATGGTATTCCGATACATGGTTATATGAGCATGTCTCGAAATACCGCACTAAACTTAGATGGCTTCCAATCCATCTTCGTCGGAACTCGGAATACTCATATTCTTTCTGCGCTCTACTACGTCTTATTTAATATATCCATTTTAGATAGGGGAGGCTATCTTAAAGAACGTTTTAAATTTTTTAGCTCTTGATCTTAGTTCTCTTATGATAAATCTTTTGCTTCTCTTGCAGTAAGACTCTGGAACTCCTTATCCCCGTCAATTAAAAATGTGTTTTAGAAACAATTTGTTCTTTAAAATATTGAAAATTAGATGCAATAAATAAGGCTATACAGATTTTTTTACGATAATTTAGAGAGTATTTCTACAGGTTATAGGGTAAAACCAAAATCATAAAAGGAAGCACTGGTTCCGTGGTAGTTCATGAGTATTTAAATGAGCAACGGACAACGCTCGGCAACAACTCGGTCACGGCTTGTAGTTGAAGATATATCAGATTTTTCATCGTCCAGAATGTTCGCAATAGGCGCTAGTTCCAGATCGTCATACTTCAACATGATTGTAGTCTAGTGAAAACACTATTTTTGCTCGGACAACGGTAATTGCTCGGTCGAGGCCCGTCTTTGTAATTTTAGGCACGGGACCGGCTCGGTGACCGTGCTACGGCCGACACTCGGCTCAGACCCGACTCGGTCTAGCGTGAATCAACCTTTATTCTATGCTTAAACCGTGAAAAATTTTTGGTCGCACTACCATATCTTGTCATTAATATCGATGCCCGTGTACATATTTCCACTCGTTCAGTGCGCTTAACCGAAAACATCGCCGCTGTTGCTCAGAGTGTGCGTGAACAACTATCAACATCAACTTGTCATCGTTCTCAAGATTTGAACATTTCATGCACTTCTTTGAGAAGAATTTTGCATAAAAATCTCGGTAAGAATGCGTACAACGTTCATTTAGTGCAAGAGCTGAAGCCGCATGACCATCCGATGCGTTTTCGGTTTGCTCGATGGACCGAAGACCGATTGATCGCAGATGAGAATTTTTATGGAAAACTCATCTTTTCAGATCAGCTCATTTCCACCTCGGAGGATAAGTCACGAAGCAAAATCTATCTGGGGCTCAGAAAATCCACACGTCATCGTGAAGAAACCAATGCATCCACAACGGGTGACTGTCTGGTGCGGATTTTAAACTGGCGGCATTATTGTGCCATTTTTATTCGAAAATGAGCAAGGAAACGCCGTTACAGTGAATGGTGATCGCTACCGCGCCGTGCTATGCGATTTTATGATTTTTCTCGAAATTGAAGTTGATGACATAGACGACATTTGGTTTCAACAAGACGGTGCAACGTGCCACACACAGCTAACGTATAACAATCGATCTTTTGCGCACTGTTTTCGAAAATCGCATAATCAACCGAAATGCTGATCTCAATTGGCCACCTCGAAGCTGCGGTTTGACTCCGTTGGACTTTTTTGTGGGGAGCCGTTATGAATAAGACGATCTAGAGCCGATTGACGACTTGAAACATGACATCGAAGTTGCCATTGTCGAAATAGAGGCCCGGACAGTCAAAAATGTTCTGGAAAATTGAACTGATTGAATGGGGGGGGGGGGCGGAATAAGGCTAGCCGTGGCAGTCATTTGAGTTATGTATTCTTCTATTCATAAATGGAAAATTTAAATTTTTCTAATAAACTCATAACTTTGAAAATATATTCATTAGATTTTTTATAGCCGATTCAAATTCCAAATCTTCAATGGCCCACCCTTTACTATATATTACTATACTATATATACAGTATAGGATCGCGCAATTATATATACAGGGTATTTTTGAAACGCTCCCGAAAACGAAGACAGACGATAGTACCAACGATAGATACCTTTGGACTAGAGACCAAAAGAAAATGGATTACAATTAAGAAAAATCATCTTTACATAACGTTTTATTAGTTTTATTTACGCCCTGTCATGTTAGTACAGCTAAATGAAACAATAATTTCATAAAAAAATCACGAAAATACTGAAAAATAAAACCAGAAGTGAAATTTAAAATGGCACCAGCTGATTATAGGGCCAATAAACGCGCGAAGACTGAACTCTTTTATCTAGCTCAGTACGAAAGAATGTATTACGTATTACTGTACTCCGCTAACTCTACCCCTCCCTTTCACACACACGCTGACGCCGCTCGGCCGACTCGTGTCGCCTCGCTGTGGTGGCGGCGGCCTGGTTTTATGTTTAAGTATTTTCATGATTTTTTAAAAGAAATTATCGTTTCATTTAGCTGTACTAACATGATAGAACGTGAATAAAGCTAATTAAACGTTGTGAAAATGATTTTTTCTTCATCCCGATGAATCCCGATTAATTTGTTTGTGGTCCCATCATCAAAGGTATCGTTAGTACACTATCGTCTGTCTTCGTTTTCGGGAGCGTTTCACAAACACCCTTTAAATATATATATATATATATTATAATTTATATATATATATATATATATATATATATATATATATATATATATATATATATATATATATATTATAACGATAAATATATATGTAATACAGCTGTATTTAGGGTCACTCGCCGAAAAGTTAAGAAACACACTCGTGGACCTGGTGTTCTAACGTTAGAACGTTACGAACATAAAAATTTTTGCAAAATAATTTATACGTGTATGTATCACTAATGTAAAACGACCAAATATCTTTTACAGATATTGCTGACACCTCGACCAACCGAACGCAAAGTGGGCTTGCAAATACAAACACAAGCGACTGGAACTAATCCAATTACTGGGGAAGAGGGAGCGGAAATACGTCAAAGAGATATAAATCGCACGGAAGGGAAGCGGGAAAATGAAGGAACGGGTTTTAATCGCCGGCTTGCGATAACGCGTGCTAATTTTCTTGAAATAGCACCCTCACCAAGGAAACGTCCTAATATTACTACAGAAAGGTAAACGTAAATTTCACAACATATTTTCCTATCTTTTTTTTCATCATGAAGTAAACCATTTTTTTGAATCTTTGAATGCAATTGTTTTTATCTAAATCACACAGGAAGTCTATTGATTAAATTTATCTATAGTTATTCTTTTACACGATCTAGGTTTTGCCTTGACTCTAGTAGTGACGTTTATCAACAGGTGCGTTTGTGGGTGTAACTGCGATTCGTTTGACTCGCGATCGTAACTGAGTCGTAGTAAAAACAGAATAGTAGGCTTTCTACTAAGAAATATACCGAACGCCGCTAATATGTGTGCGAGCCTGCAACGTGACAGCATGGACTCGTATAGTAGACGTAGACGGGAAGATCGGGCCGAGTCGGGAACGCCCACCGCCGCGCTCCGCAATCACCTTTTTTGAATTAAGAAAAATTTTGCTAGCAGTCTTTTTTGTTTAATTTTTCTTTTTGTAAAATAAATTACTACGTGCGTTTGTTTAAGTAAATAAGCTTTTTATTTTTAGGTTTTATTACTATATCTATACATGGATATATACCTCATAAGTACATTAATTATTATTTCACATCAGATAAAATTAATTTTAAACATTAAATCTGACCTGACACCATATGCTCAGTGTCAATTCACTCGTATTTTAGTTAGTTGGCATTTGTTGTAATGTAAATCTGGAATTTTTTTTGACAAAGACATTGATTCTTTGAGAGGTAACTAGAGAAATGATTAACAAATATGATGCATAGGTACGTATCCGTATGTATTATGTTTGTAAATATTATAACTACTTATAAAACTAAATGAGACTTAGCTGTTAAACAAAAAGACAGTGACAACCCTGCAATAGTAGGCATTTAAGTCTCTCTAAGTACGGTGCGTGAGTAATCCTAGTATTCTGTTTTTAGTATAACTGAGCGCTACCGAGACCTACACACACTGTACGTGCCAAATCGATTGAGAAAAACGGACGATGACCTCAGATACGAGCCGAGTGTCAAAAAGGCGGAACTTACATAATCTCAATTTAGATGTAATAACAATATTTAAATATTGATATTATTCACACTTCTAGGTCAGCACATATGTTTTGTTTTCTTGTTTCTTAAATAATATTGTCTGTGGTTCCTAAAAACATCGTAAAATCTTACGGTACATCGCGAAAAATGTGTTATATTTTATATTTCAATTTATGATAAGTAACGCAGCGATTCATTTAATCAGAAACAGTTCAAAACAGTTCAATAACAATAACAGTCATAATAAAAAAATATTTGAAGCAATATAATCACTATATTAAGCTTTTGCAAATTCATCCCTTTAAAAAAAACATAACGCGCGTTACGTCAGTTCGTTTTAAAAGAAACTTGACAATGGCAGCCAGAGATGAGTCACGTTTTTCGGGCCGGCTCGCATGCACCGAATAAAAATAAAGTTCTTATATAATATTGAAAATAAAGTTTTATCTTTTGAAAGTACGTACTTATTCGTGTCGTTATCACTCGAATCTTTACATGTGTTATAAATTAATGCTTTTTGTTGTTAAATGAATAAAGTACTTTATATCAAGAGATGATTTTTCTTCTATAGCGATCTTTTACATAACTTTTTAATACCAGTTAATAAATATATATTATATAAATCATTATAAAAAAAAATAATAAAAAATAATTATAAATAAAGAAAGTACTACATATAAAAAGTGCCTATATATTGAAGGTTTGTAGCCCCTGGTTAAACGACCGAAAGGTCAATGTCCGTTTTTCTCAATCGATTTGGCACGAACTATAACATAATGTGTAAGTGCACGGCTAACATCAACCAAACCTTCATCATGAAAAAGAATAACTATACCTATATCTTATAGATTAGATTTTCTTATTAATTTCCAATACGCGATAGCATAAATATCCCTAATTTTTTATTTAATTGTTGGGATTTCTTAATAAATTCTTTGCCTTTTCAGTGTTGTGCAACGGGGGCATAGTTCAGAATCAATTCGGGACCGTATATCCAGCTTTGATCTAGAGGACCCTATCCGTGTAAGTAAAAACATCAGCAAGTATCTGTCATTAACATCGATCGAGTTTGTTATAGAAAGTCCACGGTAAACTAAAATTGCGTAATTCATTTTACAGCTGTACGCGCAAGCGAAACGGCTGCAAGCTCTCCACACGACGACTCGCCGAGCTCGAAGCGAAGATCGCACAATGTTAAATGATAGACTGGGTGTAGGAAGACTGGATGGCCGATTCGACGAGCGTTTAAAAGGCGACTCCCTCTGCGCTCGGTGCAGAGGATATTGGAGGGCGTTTCGTCACTGTTTCGCGTCCCAGTTGTTCTGCCGACCGGAAGACGCTTGCGCTTGTTGATAGATGTTGTAGAAAATATATTATTTTCTTAGACTTTGTGTTTTAATTGTGTATGTATGTGTATGATATAATTATTAGAGTCCGATCGACACACGGTTTTCAACTGAAACTGAAACCGTAGTAGGATATTAGGTTCCATTTCTAATTTGGCCGAAACAGAAACGTAGACGTAAACGTAAGCAAAGAAATAGAAATAGAAAGTTTTTTGGACCATTCTCAAAAACGGACTTGAAATTCTAGAAAACAATTTTATTTTGATAAGATTCAAAGTAGTACCTGATACAATGAAAGCTATCTTATATTGCATTATGAAGTACATAAAAGCCTAGCTATTTTAGTGTAGTTTTCATTAAAAAAAGCTCTCCATGGAAGTGACACAGCTCCACAGTAGTGATATATTTGTATAATTTTAATAAACTATGAATGATTTATTGGGGAATAAAACGATTTTTTAAATATTAACTATTTTATTTATTTCAAAGCACATATACACATATTAAACATTAACACTAAATTATATAAAAAGTAACACGCTTAATAATATATAACAAGTGTACATAACACTCACCAACAAATGCATGTAAATGTTTATTCAATGTAAATGCGGACTCACCGATATATGATCGGCTTTTTTTTGCGCCCGAAGCAATTAAAGGGCTACCCTATACGTAGGGAGGCGGAAAATGCATTACGCATACCACGATAGCCGGTCTATCGTGGTTATGAGGGACTCACATCCTACCGGGGACCCTAAGTGATACCCTCTAAAAACCGCCTTTGGGGACAGGCAACCGGCTGATTAAGCTTTATTGTGCCTTATCATGAGCGACCCTCTTTTGGGAAAAGAGGGCGCAGGCGGCTACGAGCCGCTGAGGGAGTGCCTACGAAGGCAAATTAATTATGAGTAAATAATTTAATTTAATTAGAGTTGGCCTGGGCCGCCAGGAGGCAGTTCAGGTCGTTTGTTAGTTTATTAGGCGGGTCCGAGAGAGAGTTTCTCGGCCTGTGGACTCAATAGCGAGAGGGGGTGGAGCTGCATAAGTAGCTGCCTCACGAATTAAATGGTTTGAGTGCGACTCTGAGGCTTTGAAGAAGTTCTCAGATAGTTTTTTGAGAAATTGTTGAATTGCGGGGAGCTCTAGGTCCCGATGAAGGTCTGCATTACGGACGTACCAAGGTGCGTTCGCAGCTCGACGACAGAAAAGCTTTTGAACTATTTGGAATTCATTAATAATTTTAGGGTCGGCGTGGGCAAAAACGGGGCCCGCGTAGGACATGACTGGTCGTATACAGACCTTATAAAGGGTACGCTTGTTTCTAAGGGACATTTTACTGTGTCGGCCCAACATGCTGTTGAGCCTACTCAGATAAAAACGTGCGTGACGGGTTACTCTTTTGACGTGGGACCTGAAAGTGAGCCCTGTGTCTAGAGTGACACCTAAATATTTGGCAGTCGTATGCCAGGGGACAGGGGTCCCTAGCATACGCATTGGTGGAGTGTTTTTGATACGGCGTCGTTTATAATCGAAGTGGACAGCGGAGCTCTTCTCCGGGTTCACATCGATGCGCCATTTTTTGAACCAAGCTCCTAGGTCGTCAACCGACTTTTGAATCTTGTTCCGTATGAAGGGTAGTGAGATACCTTTGCAGTAGATAGCAGTGTCGTCTGCGAAGAGGGAGAGCTGAACACCTTTCGACGGGATGGGAATGTCGTTGGTGAACAGGATGTACAGCAGAGGAGCAAGTACTGAGCCCCGAGGGACACCAGCTTTGATAGTTCGCTGTGAAGATAGCGTGCCTTCGTGTCTAAAATGAAAGGTACGATGCTTTAAGTAAGAGGCCACGAGACGTACTAGACGATCGGGGAGACCTATTTTGTACAGTTTGTACGATAAGGCCTGTATGCCAGACTCTATCGAAGGCTTTAGCTATGTCGAAAAAGACCGCGATGGTCTTATGACGACGAGGATAAAAACCGCTGAGGATATATTCCACAATACGGTGAACTTGTTGGGGACATGAGTGTTGCGCTCGGAATCCGAATTGATGGGGAATGATAAGAAGGTCACCGTCTGTGGGAAACAGATAGCGCCTCATACGAGTTTGGATAACTCTTTCGAAGAGCTTGCCCATTGCCTTGAGGAGGCTAATGGGGCGATGACTGGAGGGGATATGATCGGCATAGACCTATATGTATTTATACTACTGCGTATGTGCTGAGTCACTGAACAAACAAAATGGCACCGACTCATTGGTGCTAAAATGTTTATGGAACATCAACGCGACCACCAATGCGTGTCGTGCGTCCGTGCAGTGTTTTTCTACTTTTAGATATTTAACACTATTTTAAGGTAAATCTACTAATATAGGCAGGGCTTTAGGCGTTTCTTCAAGTTAACAGGGTTTTGGATAATTGAGGTAAAACCGAACTTCACGTGATCCTGATTTTTATTTCCACCCAATGTATGTTTTTAAAAGATTTATCGAAGGGGGTAGTATCCAAACAGCTAGAAAAATGTAGAATGACAAAGTTATTATATAATAAATAGAATAGAACAATGGTATATTTTTACTTAGTTGACTTTACTTGCCTTTGATTTGATTATTTTATGCAAGAAACACAGATCAAGTATCTTCCAGCTGCATCGAAGAGACATCATTTTAAATTCAACTAATCTTTGATTATAGGGCTGTCAGTGTGAGACACCAATTTCATGGAATGCATGAATCAATGCGTTGCGAATGTATGTGATAGTAAGGATTACAAATGACACTGGCAAACTCAAGGCAACTTCTCGCAAAAAATATTGTACCTACAAAATAATTTTATTCTTTTAAGTCTCTTTCCTAGGTTAAATCAATGATTTCAAAAGAAAGGATAGGCCCATCTAAATATTTTACTCATAACTTTTTCATACAAGAAAAAGTAGCGCATCTGTCATAATACAAACGTCATATTAAAAGTTAAAACACGACGTAACCGGGGTCGGATTTCGTAGTATAATTATCCTAATTGTACCATTATTTCATAGTTTTTTGTATATAGTATCGTAACAATACTAAGCGAAAATACCATAATTTTACCTAACGGTCGACTTGTATTATTATTGGGTCCTTTTACATTTTTATATTAACCCTACAGAAAACAGAATTTCAAAATATTTTATGAATCAGATTTTCAGATTCAATTACCTAAGCAGATATTGTTTCTTTTGTACTCTTTTTGTTTTACCCTTATTGAATATAAGATATATTAGATACCAGTATTCAAAATGTAACTTACACATAGTTCTTTAGACAAAAATTAAATAGAAATAAAAATAAAACCGTCAAAAAACGAAACGTATAAGTAAATAAACTAGACGCGTGACGTCAAAATACCGGCACATGGGTAAAAGAAACATGAAACGTTAAACGTACTTACTTACTTATCTTCACGCACAATCCCTAACAGGGTAGCCAGAGAGAACAGATCGCCAAGTGTCACGATCCTTACTTACCTCTTTCGCTTCTTTTAGGTTCATTATCTTCTTCATACATGCACGTCTAGGTATCCGAGTAATCTTGACCTTCCCCTCTTCGAGTAATTTGCTCACATGGTCTTCGAAAGTTAGTCTCGGTCTACTTCGACACCTTTTAATATTTACTTTCGCACTATATATTTTCTTCACCATTCGGTCTTCACTCATTCGCTCAACGTGCCCAAACCATCGGAGTACGCCCCTATCAATTTTTGTGATAAGGTCATCTTTCAATCCTGCCATATTGCGAATCTCTTTGTTTCGCTTTCGGTCGGCTATGGTAACGCCGCACATTTTACGAAGAGATCGTATCTCCATTGCATTCAACTTGCTTTTATGCTTCTTCTGGCATACCCAGGTTTCGCTGCCATATAACAAAGTCGGTACCAACACTGCGTTATGTATTGCAAGGCGTGCACTCTTCACTACGCCCTGCCTTTTGACTAACGCAATCAGGGCACCATTGCCTTTGTTCCCGGCAGCGACACGCCTGTCCACATCTAAATCACATCTTCCATCCCGGCTGAAAGCACTCCCCAAGTACACAATTTCATTTACCTGTTCTAGACATTCCTGATTTACCCATATTTCACATTTCGTTCTCTCTTCGTCCTTTTTAAATACTAGAACCTTAGTTTTATTAGCATTCAAACGGAGACTTTTAATTTCACATTCCTCTTTCATACACGTGACTAATGTCTGCAGTTCTGCTTCTGATGGTGCAATAAGCACTGCATCATCAGCATACAGCAGACAATTTACTTTAATGTCACCCAATTTCACACCCAAACAGCTATTTTTCTGCTTCTTAAACAGCTGTCGAGATACAGTATGAACAGCCAGGAAGACATGACACAACCCTGTTTTACGCCCGCTTGGACGCTAAACATGGGTGACAGGTCATACCCTATCCACACACAGGCTTTACAGTCATAGTAAAGTGACTGCACAGCCCTTAACAATGGACCATCCACACCATATTCCGGCAACAGTTCCCACATTTTCTTCCTTATAACCTTATCAAATGCTTTCTCCAGATCCACAAAAGCACAGAAAATCCTCTGGTTAACAGCCAGAAGCTTTTCCGTGATCATGCGGAGAGAAAACATTTGATCCGTCCTCTTCCAGGTCTAAATCCGCTTTGTGCCTCCCATAATAATCTTTCCCTTTCTCTTGCATCCTACGTGTCAAAACATCCGAGTAAACTTTACTTGCTAAACTGGTCAAGCTGATCGCCCGATAGCACCCGCAGTCAAAACGTGAACTTTTACCTTTATATAAAGGCACAATGACCGCGGGTCGCCAGTCATCCGGGACACCTCCCGTCCGCCAGCACAAATTGCACAGCAGATGAAAGCAGTCCCAGACGCGAGGCCCGCCCGTACTTGACCATTTCAGCAGTAACTTTGTCTAGTCCCGAAACTTCGAATCGCACGTTCAATCTCTTTCATGCTGACGATCTCATTGTCATCGAGGTCC